CATGTGGTGCGCGCTTTCGCTGCGCACCCCCCACTATTTTTTTTTTTTTTTTGAATTTTTTTTTTTTGCGGGGGGGTCTGGAGCCGGGGTTGGGGTGCCCACCCACTGATGATCAACAACTATCATGCATGGCTGATACACCCCCTGGCTGTTTGGTAGTTCAAGTCTAGGAATCTGCCAGTCGATCCTAGGGTTGACTACCCTCAACCATTGCATAGAGAACACCAGGTCAAAGGGGAGATCAGGGAATATGTAGAAGTTCAGACTGTGTCTGACTTATCCAGCACTGTGGAATCACCTATCCTGACCAGCAAAGGTTGTTGCAGCTGCTGAACTTTCATCCCCAAATGCAGTTTCTTAACAGCACTGGGGGATATAAAGTTCCTGGTAGCTCCACAATCCAACAGCCCTTTGATCCTGCTGTGGTTGATCAGGGGCCGAAGTAGGATGAGGTCAGACTTGCACTTCTTTTGTTCCTTCAGGTGAAGGAAGAAGGCTGCAAGTGACTGAAGCTCCTCCTGCCCCGGGTCCTGATCCGGGTCAGGATCCTCATAACAAAAGGATGCTGCCCGTGCAGTCCCCAAACAACAATAACAAGAATCTGCAGTCTCAACCGAAACAGCTGCAGATTCACCTGCCTGAGCAGATGAAGGTGCAGCATTGAGGGGAACTGCAGTCCCCAGGGTCTATTTCAGTTTTTTTACTGTCCTGAGCCTGGCATGTAAGGGCAGTCCTTTAAAAAGTGTTGATCCTCACACCTCAGGCAGACCCCTCTCTCCTTTCTTCTTCTCCAGACTCCTTCCTGGATCTTGAGGTCATGTCAGGGGAGTGTGGATGGATTGAGTGGGTCAGCTGGCATCCGGATATCTTTGGGCAGGTTAGGGCGTTGGGAAGAGGAAGGCCGACGTCCTTTTTCCTTCCCCTTTGCATTGGCTGAGGCTGTGGTGGGGGAGAATCTTTCCTGCTGCTGCAGAACTCCCAAAACAGCCTGAGTCAGGGCCGCTGCACCATCTGTATCAGTAGCGGATCCAGTCCCAGTTGAAGGTGTATCAGCCTGGGAGTCTGAATCAGAAGCTGATGCAGACCCTGCATGTGTGAAGGCTGCCTTTCCCTTTCTACCACCTCAAGGGGAGGCACCTCTCCTCTTGTCAGAGGAGGGGGCCTGAACATGAAGCTTCGCCTCCATGTCCAGGGCTGCAAGGCCAAAGGACCTCCAGTCCTTGTGCCCAGCGCTATACAAAGCAACAACAAACTTCTCAGGCGCTGCCCTGCAGAAGTTGGTCAACAAATCATCAGTGGACATGACCAACCCAGGGGTGGAGGTAAGTTGCTCGAACTCTGCAAACAAGGCCTACAGGGTACCCCTGTATCGCTGGTGCCCCAGGCGAGCAATCCTGTCAGCAGCCTTGCGGGCCCTCTCCTTGTCTGCACTGCTGGAGGTTGAGGTAGCCCACTTTAAGGCAGGTCCCTCCAGCAGCCCCAGAATCGTAGCCACCTTGGTCTGTTATGGGCAGATAAAGCCCCTCCAGTAGGCTTTAGTCCCAGCAGCCCAGTCCCCAACATCAGTCTTGGGGTCATCACCCTTGAACTTGTTGGGTGCAGGAATCTTGGGACCTCTTTGATCCCCTGCAGTAACAGCAGCATAGGTGGCTTTGCCTGGGGTCTTTTGGGAATGAGATGGTGAAGGGGAAGATTGTCGTGAGCCAGGGTGAGATGAAGGTGGAGAGGAAGGAGGTTGTTTGGGTTTGCGCAGAGGGGTCTGAGGGGCAATCAGTTGGGCGGCTGTCAGCTGAGCAGTCAAGTTCTGAATCGCGTCCAGAATCTTGGACTGCTGAGCTGGCAGGTCGTCCACCCGACGCTCCAGGCGATCCACACGATCATCCCAGTTCGTGAAGTACGAACTGGTGGCCTTGTGTTCCAGGATGGCCCACTCTGCCAGGTGTTTAATCACCTGAGCACAGCGGTCATTTGTGAGGACCTTTTCTAGCTGCTCCAACAGGTACTCCCTTCTGGAAGTGTCTGTTGCAGCCTCTAGCTCAGCTGCCTCCTGCCGTTCCAATTTAGCAAGCAAGGCCTGCTCCCGCCACAATTTCTCATGCAACTCCTTCCTTTGCTGAGTAGCAGTCAGAGGTGGAGGAGGATCAGTGGAGGTCCAAGGCTTTTGGCCTTCCACCTTCATTACCACTTCCACCTGTGGCTGCTGCTGAGCTCCCTGATCAGACATCTTTCACTAATCAAAAATAAAAATAAAATACAGCAACCAGAGTATGCAGTGATATTCAGATTCCTTCAGACACCCTGGAATCGCTGCAATATCTCATGCAGTAGAGTAGGTGGGTGGATAGGCAATCAGCGATTTGGGGTTGGAAGGTCTCTTTGGGGTCAGTTGTCCAACAGACTGTAAGTCCAGCAAAATCATACACACGATTTCCTTTTACTGACCCTGCACCACACTAGAGTTAGTAGAATCAATCCACTACTCTTCCAAAGACACACTAGATTTTCATAGCCCACTAGAAAACAAGAGTTGTCAGTGGGAATGATAGAATATGGCAAGTACAGACTGGACATATCAAATAAGCAGAGCGATTCAGTCAAGGACCCTGAATCCTAAATCAGACTCCGATTTGGACCCTGATGACTCTGGCAGCCATACCCTAGGGTATGGTGAAATACAGTATTCACTGTATCCAGTGTAATACTGCAAATCCAATCCTGCGATTTTGCACTACTCACTATTTTTGGATTGCGATTCACTGGGAACTGACAGAATTGAATTCTGATGGACGGAATTGAAGTCATGACTGACCCTAATTAGCACAGGCTATAATTAGACTCAGCGCAAAACTACCATTCAGGGTATTTCCAGTGCAGAATTCACAGTTTGAGTATCCCAGATCAATCGCAATACAGTATAGCAGTCCCAGAACAATTTTTGGATGAGAAGGGTTAGAAACGAGCAGAGGAAGGTAGGGGAGAGATGGCTATGGCTGTCATGCAGTCTTCGATTTTCAAATCCAGTCATTGACAGACAGATAGACCATACTTCCTGACTAAACTAATCCTATCTGAATCGCAATACAGGTAGGTACATGGAACGAACTCACTTTCTGAGTATTTGGTTGTACTTGATGAAGATCTGGCTATGACAGAGTATACCCTTATCTCACCAACTCCTTCCAGAAATTCTCCCTGACAATCCCACGCACAGAACCTTCTCAAACTTGTTGATCCTTCTCAGGATCCTGAAGCACTGCAATCCCCCAATCCAGATTCACTGTATCTGGTCCTGTGGAGCCCGAATAGCCAACAACAAAATATCTCGCCACAGTGCCTGGTGGCCGCTGATGCTAAAAATAGCCCCAACTGGGGTTAATTCTCCTGGAGATTGATACAGACTATCAATCTCCCTCAGCGCTACCCAGGGATGATGCCGCGCTAGGATCTCTGCTGTCCTCAGGGGTAATTCGCCGCCCTGGGGTAATTCGCAATACCCCCTCACAGTTGGCTATGGCAAATTAGCCCTGTACTCGCCACTTCCTGACAAGCGCCCTGACAGGCTTAGTGCGCTTGCTCAGTACTTGCACTGAACTCCTGAATCCACCGCTGAATATCTTCTTCCCTGCTGACTCAGTACTGGGGAAGATGAATCGCCATGAAGCTCTCGCCAGTATCTCGCCAGATGAAGAAGATGCTCGTTGCACTCAACCCTCAGTGCTCCAATTCCAATCTCGCTCTGATACCAACTGTTATGAACTTTGTTGTCTAACGATTTTTACCGCCACTCACACACAGACAATCTCATACACGCCCATACATGCATAAGAGAAGGGGGAGAGGAGACAAAGTCCAAACTGCACACAGATCAGAGTAGATAGCGGAAGCACAACCATTCACAGATGGGGAGAGGACACACAGTGTTTCTCACTCTCTGACAATACTCCCAACAACCAATCACAAGAAAGAACCTGCGAGGATAACAATTGGAATACACACTGAT